GGAAAGGGAAGGGGATTGGTTCTGCCTGATTTGTGGAATGGCTGGAGCTGTGCCAGGGGGGTTGGGATGGATCTCAGGGAAAGGTTCTTCCCCCAGAGGGTGCTGGGGCACTGCCCAGGCTCCCCAGGGCAGTGGGCACGGCCCCAAGGCTGCCAGAGCTCCAGGAGCGTTTGGACAACGCTCTGAGGGACAGGGTGGGATTGTTGGGGTGTCTGTGCAGGGCCAGGAGTTGGGCTGGATGATGGTGAGATCCCCCCCTGCAGTGCTGCCTCCAGCTCTGGGGTCCCCAGCAGCAACCCCATGTCCCCAGGAGGGACATGGACCTTTGGTAGCAAGTCCAGGGGAGGCACCGAGATGGTCAGAGGGCTGGAGCAGCTCTGCTGGGAGGAAAGGCTGAGAATTGGGATTGTTCAGCCTGGAGAAGAGAAGCTTCAGGGTGACCTAATTGTAGCCTTCCAGTACCTCAAATTACTACAAGAAAGATGGAGAGAGACTATTTACAAGGGCCTGGAGTGACAGGACAGGAGGAATGGCTTCCCACTGACAGAGAGTAGGTTTAGTTTAGATGGAAAGAAGAAATCCTTCCCTGGGAGGGTGCTGACGCCCTGGCACAGGTTGCCCAGAGCAGCTGTGGCTCCCCCATCCCTGGAAGTGTCCAAGGCCAGGTTGGACGGGGCTTGGAGCAACCTGGCCTGGTGGAAGGTGTCCCTGCCCATGGCAGGGGGTGGAACTGGATGGGCTTTGAGGTCCCTCCAACCCAAACCATTCTGGGATTCTGTGAAGAACAACAGATTATCATGCTGAGGTTTAAATAAACCCCAAGGAGGGGAGCACAGGTGGTGTTTTTCCTCCTCAGAAGAGGCTCAATCTCATCACAGCAGCTCCCTGGGAGCATCTGAGGGAAGAGCTGGCCCTGGCTGCACTCCCAGCTGGGTCTCTGCACAGCGTGGCTGGGGACAGAGGTCCTGCTGCCCAGAAAGTGGTTTCTGTGTGTGAGCACAGCTGAGCAGGGAGCAGCTGCTGCCCTGAGCCTTCCACAGGCTCCCAGGGCTGTGCCCAGCAGGAATGCTGAGCTTTTCCCGGCACCACGTGCGGAGAGCGAGCACAGGAGTCAGAAACAAGCAAACAAACCCATTCATGGAGCAAATGAGAGCAACAGCTAAATCAGAGAGCAGTTGCTACCTGGCCACAAACACCTGCCAGCTGAGGAGGTGGGATCTATCCCACTGGATGAGTTGTTATCCTGGGAGCATCCAGGCTGCCAGGCGCCCGCGGCGTGGAGCAGGGTGGGGACAGCACCCACGGTGCTGGAGGGCAGAGCAGGGGGGTCAGGAGGGCTCAGCAGGGTGGAGGGCAGGAGGAACAGGCTCCATCTGGGCAGGGAGATGCACATTGTTCCCCTCACTTGGGAAACCAGCTGGGAAACTGCCCCCCCCAGTTCCAGCGGAGTCGGGGGAAGAACATCCTGGCTCCATGTGCTTCCCGAGCTGGGACTCCTGCCTGCAGCAGTGTCTCATAGCCAGAGCTTGACCTTTCCAGCAGCAGTTAGCTGGGAGAGGAGCTGTGCAGCTGATGAGCACATGAAGGGCTTTATCTCACCCTCCGGCGTGGACAGTGACTGTAAAATCCTTGGCAAAGGCAGCGGCGCCGTATTGATCCCAGGAAGTCCAGGTGCTCCTTCGCATGAAAATCACATGGAAATGGGATTTCTCTGTGTGATTTCCTTGCTGCTGCTTGGGGCTGATGGGTCTGTGAGAGTGACACCTCCCCGTGCCCAAGAGCCACCTGCAATAGGTGACAGTTGTGGCACCTGAGGTTGTTGACAGCAAGAAGTTGTCATCCCTGTGAGGGGGATTTGACTGGTGATCACAGTAACCTGGTCAGGGAGAAGCTCAGCTTGTTTGAAAGGGAAGGGATATACCCTAATTTCCATACATTTGAGTGGAAATGCTGGAAAACAGGGAAGATAACACCATCAGAGATATGCTGGAAGCACTGGGATCAAAGGGAAGAGCTGTTTATTTTTCCTGATATCATTTGCAGGGATGAGGCCTTGGGAAATGCTCCTGGTATCTACCCGGTCTGACTGGTTTTGTTTCAAATAAACTGGTGTCCGAACATTCCAGAAGGGTCAGTGTGGAGGAAAAGGGGTCTCAGTCTCACAGAGTCCACACTGGGGACAAGGCTGAGGTGTGGCAGCAATGCCCGGTTCTCCAGCTGCAGGACCTGCTGCAGGGAGCTGAGGAGGTGCAGAGGATTTAGAGACCTGTCCCAGACCTGTCCCCTGGTGCTCAGGAGACTGGGATTGGAATTGGTTCCTCTCCTGATTCCACCCACTTGCAGCCGAGCGTGGTTAGTGCTGCTGAAACCGTACGTGGGATTAGGGGGGGATAATTAGCCCTGAGCTTTCCTGTACCTGCAGGAGGCTGGAATGAAACTCTGAGTCAGACCAAAACAACATTTAGAAAATGTACCAGGCCCAGGCAGAATAATCAGTGGCTGGTAATGACTATTTATCTTGTCACCTCGCTGATGCCTCCCGTTGTAACGTCCTCACCGCCCGGTTTCCAGGGAAAGGGCATCCTGTAAATCTCACAGGCACGTTGCTCCACTGGGAGCCATTGTCCTTCTCACTTCACAGGCTGGAGAGATGCCTTCAGCTGGAACCTGGCAGCAGCAGAAATATGGCAGAGGCAGTTCCACAGCAAAACACCTTTGCTGTGTGCAGGGAATTGATGTTTCCCTCCTCGCTCAGCCCAGCTCCACGTCTGCCACGGAACAATCCCCACTGCCACCGTTCTAAACAAACCTTTCATTTGGGATTCTCCCCAGGCTGATTATCCCCACTCTGGCACATCCAGAGGAAATGAGTTTTGCACCCTGGCAGGTTGTAATAACATAGAATCCTTCTTCCCTTGGGAAACTCTGCCAAGGGCACCGGAGGTGTCCCGTGAACGAGGATGAATGAAGCCCTGCAATCCACCTGTGGAGCACAGCGGGTTTCTTCCTGGGTTTAAGGGGCACAAGAAGGTTCCTGGGACCTCAGGGAGGTCACCAAGCAGGGAATAAACCCCAGGAGTCCCAGCTCCCAGTCTCCAGGTTTAACTGGTGAATACAGCAGGTTCAGCTGCCATGGGGGGTTGTCCCAGTGCTTCCCTTGGGAGATGCTGAGTCAGTTAGACAGAGCCACTGCTGTGTAGCAGCTTAAGCATCAAAGGAGAAAGGAGAGAGGTTTACAGGAGCGTGGCTTAATTCCCATTTGCCTGTCAGCTCAGAGCACGCACATGTTCAGATATCACAGCACGAGTAACTGATAACCCCTCATTTATTAATCCCTGGTAACTCAATCTGCCCTCTCGGCCCTGAGTGCAGAGCAGAGATGATGCCCTCAGGAGCTGCAGATCAATTTAAATTTTCAGAGCCTCGGTGCCTGACTGACTCCAGAGTGCCAGAGCTCCTTAGAATAACCACGGAGCAGATTTCCTGTCCCAGAACTGAGCCCGGCTCCCCTTCCAGCAGCCCTGGCTGCCACCTTCTCCTGTGCTGGAGTCATTCACAGCCGTGCAGGAGGGCACATGTATGTCTGGAGAACGCTGCCATGACAAGCTGCCACCCCCCCTTTCACACCAGCACTGGGGTCTTCTGGGCACTGGTGCTTCCATGCAGCTCATCTGCAGGAGGGCAGGGACCCCAGGGCCCTTCCTGCTCCTCCCTGTTGCTGGTGGTGCTCAGACACTGGCAAAGCTCCCTTGGAAGTGGCAGTTCCAACAAAGGGCTCAGAGCTGAATTAACTGGGGAAGGTGTGTGAGGACACTGAGGGCACTGGGTGGGTTCAGCTGGACAAGAGGAGATTGAGGGGAGACCTCCCTGCAGTTCCAATTCCTGGGGAGGGGCAGAGGAGGGGCAGGGACTGAGCTCTGCTCTGGGGGGACCAGGGACAGGACCCAGGGAATGCTGGAGCTGTGTCAGGGCAGGGTCAGGTTGGATCTCAGGGAAAGGTTCTTCCCCCAGAGGCTGGTTGGGCACTGCCCAGGCTCCCCAGGGCAGTGGGCACAGCCCCAAGGCTGCCAGAGCTCCAGGAGGGTTTGGATGATCCTCTGGGGCACAGGGTGTGACTCTTGGGGATGGGCCTGTGCAGGGCTGATGATGATCCTTGTGGGTCCCTTCCAGCTCAGCATATATTCTGGGATTCTGTGAAAAGGTGGGGAAACCAAGTCACTGTGTTAGAGCAGGACGTGGCTCAGGACACGCAGCCCAGCAGGGATGGAATCAAACCAAGTTAATAAACTCCCTGGTTAATGGCCCAGATGCAAATCCTGATTGCAGGACCTCGGCTGACTCCCAGCTCCCCCCAGCTGGCTGCACTCCAGGACTGGGACCAGCCCTCCAGTGCCACCTCTCAGGGATCCTCAGGGAGAGTGAAGAGCCCTGGAAGTGAAGGTGGCAGCAGCCCAGCTCTGCTGACCCAGGAGGCTCTGCTTCATTAGCCCCCAAACACTGCTGACCATGAACACTTCCATCCTGGCATTGCAGGTTCTGCTTCTCCATAAAAGCAAAAAGCAGTTTATGAGGGAACAGTCAATAATGTGCTGCTTTATCGCAGCTGCTTGGGAGCAGTTGGCAACTGCACCCTGAGGAATGGGGAGGAGTAACTGTTTCAGGACAGCTGCTGTGCCTCCTGCCAGGGACAGGCTGGGAGAGGGGTCCTGACACCTGTAAACATCCCAGCCCATGGCCACAGAGCTGGAAACCAGCCATAAAGTGGACGTGCTCACTGGTCTCCCCGGCGTGCTGCAGTTTTTTGGGGCTCAGACGGTCTCCTGCTTTGCATTTCAGCAGTTGCAGCCCACCAAGAACCTGCTCTCACCTGGAGATAAAGAGCAGGAGGAGCGGCTGAGACTGAGGGTACAACAGGAGGTGCCCCAAAACATGAACCAAAACACCCTGCTGGTACCCAGGTGGTGGCACAGGCAAGAAAAAGGAGAGGAGCACAGGTTGGGTGAAATGTTCTCGCTTTTATTCAGACTCTGAACAGTCACAAACCCACAGCCCCTCTGCTCCCCAGCACTGCTGCCCCTCCTGCCCCTCAGATGTCCCTCCCCAGCCAAGGGCAATGTCACTTCAAGGCTTCCCCTGCAGGTGAGGTGATACCCTCACCCTCCCGTCCCAGCCTGGCTGCCCTGCAGGCTGAGGCACTTACACAAGTCTCTCTTCCCCAGGTCTTTGGGGAACCTCTGTTTCTCTTTGCAAGATCAGTGGAGAGTGAAATCCACGGGCTTGAGCTGCCGGGGCTGGACAAGGCGCCTCCTGAGGATCCTCTGGAACAAGTTTTTCCTGCCTGTCACAGCAGGGAGCTCCAGGCTGGAGCTGCTCCTCTGGTAACCCACCCCCAGGAGCCTCTTCTCCCTCTTCTGTGCCTCTTTGCTCTCCAGAATGTCTGTTCTTTGGATGTCTCTGGCGGGGCTGGCACATGTCCCTGCTGGGGTCCCGAAGGCTGGGCTGGCTCTGCCGTCCTTGAGACCGGTGGCACGAGGACTCGGCTGCTTGTGGCCCCTCTGGCCTCCATCCTTCTGGGAATCTCCCTCAGCAACAGCCATCCCGGGGTGTCTGCAGCATCCTGGCTCCTCCTGCCAGCCGGGACGTGTCTCGGCAGCGGGACCTCGAGGGTGGCCGGAGCCCGAGTGAAAAAACGCCTCCTCCCTGGTGACCTGCGGGCTCTGCCCCAGGGTGACAAAGCCGTAGGGGGTGGTGACCTTGGGGAGGTGGGGCAGGGACAGAGCTGCCCAGGCAGTGAGGTCTGGGCTCGGCTGGGCGGGGGGGTCAGTGCAGGAGGAGTTGGGGCCGGAGGAGTCGGAGCCCGGCAGCTCCTCCCGCCCCGCCGGGTCCGAGCTGCTCCTCCACGCCGTCCCCTCCAGCTGCCCCATCCCCTTCCCTGAGCCCCTGTGCTTCCCGTGGACGTCCAGGCAGGGGATGGTGAACTGCGGGATGCGGTCGGGGGTCACCACGTGGAAGAAGATGCCGCTGGAGCTCTTGCCCCGGAGCGTCCCCTCCCAGAGGGACATGGTGGCACCGCGGGGCTCCCCGGGCAGCGCTGGCTATTTATGCCCTGCTGCCAGCCCTGATTGCTCCGCGGGCAGTGACGTGGTGACAGCGCTGCCAGGGCCCCGCACCTGCCCCCTCCGGGCCAGCAGCCCTTTGTCACCCGCCCGGGAGACAGATGGAGGGGGACAGGTGAGGACACGCTTGTCCCCAACATCATCGCCTGACCTCCTGCTCTCCCGCGGGGCTGAGTGTCACCCGTGAGGCAGGAGAGAGGGAGCGGCGAGGGGGGGAGCCGGGTGACGGGGGGAGCCAGGGAGGGACGGAGGGGGCACAGCGAGCGGTGCCCGGCGCAGGATGAGTCACCGCCCGTGGGCATCAGGTGGAGCCGAGCGGGAAGGGGCAGCTCGGAGCGGGAGACAAACACTCCAGCTCTGTCTAGCAAAGCTCCCGTCGGGAAAATCTCCCACGCAATTACCCAGAGAAAGCAGCACTTTCAACCACTGCACCCCCCCCCCCGCGTCCCTCCGCCCACCTCTGCCGGTGCCAGGGCACTGCTGGATTGTTTCCCGCAGCTCCCGTCCCACTGGGGGTGGGAATGTGGGGGGGGGACAGTCCCGGGCAGCCCCCAGGCCTGAACCAGGAGAACAGGGGTTGTGCATCCTCCAGGTGGGAGGATGAAGCTGCTCTCCCAGAGGAGCCTCAGCTTTGCCTTTTCTCTCTGTGCAGCAGGAGCAGAGCTGCAGAGTGGGCTATGATTCTATTCTATGATTCCCTGTCACCCTCCCCTGGGCTGAGGAAGCTCCTCCACTAGCAGGGGGACAAGGGCTGCTTTAGGTTGGATCCTGCTCTGAAAATGATGCAGTGAGGAAAAGCAGCTCCATCTCTGTGTGGGCACAGACCAGGAGGGATGCAGAGATCCCCTTCACCTGGGGTCCAGCTTCTCCCATCCCTGGGGGGGCTCAGCAGGGCAGGTTTCTGGCATCTCATCACCTTCAGCTTTTTGCATCAGCACAGGGACATGTCCCAGATCAGTCTTGGTGAGCTCTGACTCCCAGGAGCAGACAGGGACCCCAAACTGAGGGGAAATGAATCCCTAATTGAGAGCCCTTAAGGCTGCCCCAGGCCCAGGGCTGAGAGCAGGAGACCCCCATGGGAGGGCACTGGGCTGCCCCCCAATTAGCAGCTCATCAGTGTAATGAGGAGCACATGGGCCAGGGGCTATAAGTAGCTTGAGGGCCCCAGCCTGGGCTAAGCCAGGTTTCTGTCCAGTCTGGGCTTCATGGAGCAGCAGCAGCAGCTAAAGCTGGGCTCAAGCCCAGAGCAGGTAAAGGTCCTCCAGGTGCCCCAGGGGCTGTTTCTGCTGGGGGCTCTCTCAGAGCTGCTGTGCAGGATCTGACCCGTCTCTCTCTCTGTCTAGGTGAGACCCCTCACCAGCAGTGATCTCCAGTCCTTCTTCAGCAGGTTCCTGGGCCAGATCCTTCAGCTGAGCTTTGTCAAGAACCTGGTAAGTGATGTTCCTGCTGCTGGAGGAGCCCGAGGCCAGGGGGTGGGGTGGGAAAACCTCAAGACTTGGCAGTTTCTTGGGTCTTTCTGCCAGGTATTCTCTTCTTTCAGTCTTTCCAGGTCACCAGATGTTAGAAAGAAATTCTTCCCTGTGAGGGTGGGGAGGCCCTGGCACAGGTTGCCCAGAGAAGCTGTGGCTGCCCCTGGATCCCTGGAAGTGTCCAAGGCCAGGTTGGACGGGGCTTGGATCAACCTGGGCTGGTGGAAGGTGTCCCTGCCCCTGGCAGGGGGTGGGATGAGATTTAAGGTCCCTTGCAACCCAAACCATTCCATGATTTTCCCTCTGCCCTGTACTCAGTGTGAGCCTGTTTTCTGCTTTCCTCCCCATCCTGGAGTTTCCCTCTGCCTGCTTTGGCCTTGCCTTGTTCCCTGTTGCTCATGGTGGTTGCAACATTCACATTTCCCTGCCTGCCTGGGCCAGGAGAGATGGGAGGATTTTGTGAACAAAGTCCAATCCAACAGGTCCTGTTTTACCTGGCTGGAATTGGTCCCATCTCAGCTCCACGCTGGGAGCAGAGCAGGGTTTAAGGCTTTCACTGAGGTCTTTAGCACGTGTGAGAACTCCCAGATACTTAATGTACTTCTTTGCAGCTGAAGGTGCTTCAGAAAGCACGGGTCTGGATTGGATTTTTGATCCCTGTGGAGAGCATGATCAGCCAACTCTGCCCCACCCAGTCTCCCCCCAGGCCGGGCCGCCTGGCCAGGAAGCGCCGGGGGAGGCTCGGGCGCCTTCTCCTCTCCATGGCACCCACCAGGATCCAGAACATCCTGGGCTCCCTGCCAGCAGACTGGGGCCAGGGCAACCAGCCCAGGGGTAAGAGCTCCTGCAACACCCGAAGGCTTTGCAGCCGACAAACGTGGCATGGCAGGGTTTGGGGTTCCTGCGGAGGGCTGGGACACACGGCTCTGTGTCTGTCCTGGGGTGGTGATGGGGCCCCCTGTGAATCCCTGCAGAGATCCTGGAGGCTCCAATCAACCCGTCCAGCAAAGCCAGCAAGAGGAAGAGGGATGATGTGGCTCTGGAGGAGCAGGAGTCCTGGTTTGTGGTGCTGGAGAGGGACTTGCCGGAAGATGACTCTAAAGACCTCTCATATGAGGTGAGATGTTGTGGCTGCTGGGCAGGATTGTTCCTCAGGGGCTCAGCAAGTGGGAGGTGATGGTTTGGGCTCTGAGAGCTCCTGCAGCCTGGGAGTGTCCCTGCAGAGGAGCCTGTGCAGGGAGGGAAGAGGTTTCCTTCACTGTCCCCACTTTGGGGAGTGTCCAGTGAGGAGCTGGACTCTGACCCTGCCGGGTCCCTCCCAGGTGAGCACATCCTGTGAGCACTTGGACATCACTCCAGCAGTGTCTGAAAGGTGTGGGTGCCCCCCTTGTCCCACAGCAGTGAAGTTTCCCTCTGATTGGTGTCTCTGTCCCCCTCTGGCTGTGGCTCCCAGGATTGGTGTGTCCTTCCTCACACCTTCCTTGTCTCTCGGCCTCTTCCCCCCCAGCCCTCGGATGAGGAGTCAGACAGTGAGGAGTACAGGTCCCACAATGACACTGAGGCAGAGCTGGAAGAGCAGGATGGGATCACAATGATGCTGAAGGAGTCCTTGGATCCCCAGGTGAGTGTTCCTGCTCCCTGCTGGCTGCAGATCCATTCCTGGGGACACTGGGAAATACTGGCCTGGAAGGTTGTGCTTCCCTCCTTGTTCCCTTGGCTGTCAAAGTGTCGGGGGTTGCTCAGACTGCTCTGAACATCATGGACCCCTCACGGCCTGACCATGTCCCTCCTCTGCGAGCAGAGGACACACAACCCTCGGGAGCTGCCAGGGCTGGAGGATCCAGCTGGGCCCAGCAGTGGGGAAGGTGCTGCAGACGTGGGCAGTGGTGATGGGGATGCCCAGAAGCCCCAGGCTGACGTGAGCAGTGGGCAGGAGGCTGATACAGAGTGATGACAGCAGCAGTTTGTCCCAGGTGAGGACTCCTGAGACACGATCCCACCCACCCTCTCGGTGGGGAGGTGTCTCAGCCTGGGGGATGTCCCCAGGCTCTGGGCCCTTGTGACACAACCCCTCTGCTGCCAGGGGAGGTAGGGAAGGGTTGTGGGGGCTCCAGGCTTTCTCCCTGTGCAAAGAGACAACCTCAGTCCCCCCAGGGGGTTGAGATGGTGTTGGGTGTGCACGGGGGAGGCATTGTCACCCCTGGGTGATGATGTGCCAAGTGCCACTGGAGCACCTCTGATCCTGCAGGTTGCCATGAGCCCTTTCTGACTCTTTCCCCAGGTATCCTGTACTTTAAAATGGGATTTATGGGAGAGTCTTCACCACTAACAACTTCCTTTGGGGTCACTCACTACTCTAGTCCCAACTGTTCCCAAAGAACCACTGGATACCCCCCTAATTCCCAGGAAGCTGGTGCTCTGCCTGGCTCACAGGGAAGGGGAGGGTGAGGAGAGGTGCAGGGTGGGTTGATTTGAACTCAGTGTCAGTGATGGCAGCCAGTTTTAGGGGGAACATCTCTGGTGTTTTCTAGGAAAACCAGGAAGCCTGACCCATGGACCTGGACCCTCTGGGGCTGCAAAGTTCCTGACTCCCTGGGGCTGCTGTGTCCCTGAGTAAGATGTCCAGTTAAATGCTATGTTGTTTTTTGAAGTTTATAATAAAGTTACCCTGTTTCTCCCTGTGAATTGGGATGTGGTTGGCTGTCAGTACCTGGGGCTGCACCAGGTGATGTGGACATGCTGCTGCTGGGACCTCAGGGGATGGGTTCTGAACCATCTTGTGGCTCTTCATAGCTCTGGGAGGGTGATGACTCTGGGAATGCTGGAATGTGTGATGGGAAGGGGAGGGATGGAGGGAAGGGAACTGGGTTTCCATGTGGCAGTACCTGAGCTTGGACATGCTGACTGGTCCCTGATAGCCCTGGACTGGCTGGTGCCTCCAAGGAACTTCCCTCCACACGCAGAGCATTCCCAGAAATACAGTGGCAACAGGTCTACCTTGTCTGCTTTAAACCTGGGAGCTCTGCATGGAGCCTTGTTCCACATGGATCCTACAGAAGACCCTGGTTCAGCACAAGAGTTGAAGAAACAGGGATTTGGGGTCTGGAAAGACAAATTAGGAACAGAGGGACTCGGTTGGTCAGTGCCTGGACCAAGTCACAGCACCTGAGGCTGCAAAGGGCAGTAACTCCTCCACATGGAGGGTGCAGATGGGAACAGCTCACGGTGTGCCTGGAGCTGCTTTGTGTGTGGATCAGCTTGGACTAACAACACTCCCAGTGCTAAAATCACCTGTGGCATCCTGCAGCTGGACAGGCTGAGCTCTGGGGTGGGTTGAAGGTGGGTGGGCCAGGCCAGCTCTGCTCTGAGCCGGGCAGGGAAGAGCTGCCAGCTCAGGAGTGTCTGTGGGGATGGCTGTGCTCACCCTGTGCCCCGGGCAGAGCCTCCAGGGAAGGACAAACCCTCTCCAGTGCTGCAG